AATGAACAATTGCATAATCATACTGAGACAATTGCATTATCATATTCATACTGATACAATTGCATAATCATTGTGTCAAATTTTAAATTTTGTAAAAATGGTCAAGTTTAAAATCTGTTTTGATAATCTTAGTATGTAAATATTTTTTATAGAAGAAATTTGTTAAAAAAAATATTTAATAGACGATCAGCTAGATAATAAATAAAGGGTCAATTAGTTCAATATACAAACGTGGGTTTGTTTGTAAAAATCGAAAGTTAACAGGAATAAAAGGGTAATTTATTAAACTTTATTTATCTTTTAAAAGAACGAAAAACTGTTTTATCAGATAAATTCTAAGTATGTAAATGATTGATTCTTCAAAGATCCAATTTTTGATTCCTAACATGAACACGAGTCTACTTCCAAATTCGAAAGCTTTATTGTTTTCTTACCATTATTTCTTCACCATTTATTTCGAGAAGGTCCAATTCAATCGAATCAGCTCTGTAAAATACTCCGAATGGAGAACGCCCACAAGTTGTTCGACACAATTCCTCAATGCCCAAAACGGGTCTCTGTTTCTTTCTTTTGCGTTTCCCATGTCACGTGCCTCATACGTGACAAAGCCAGACTCTTCAATATCGTTGCTTTTCTCGTTTATTTTCCCGCCTCTTACTCTTTTCTTTTCTCTCCCAAAGAAAAACAAACAAACTCTCGAGACCAAGAAGACGCAAGATTCTTGAGAGAATCTCCATTGCTGCATATTCATGGAGCTTCCTTCGCTGAACGATGTTAACTGCAAACAACTCTTCGAGCGAGCCAAATATCTCTACTCTCAACATGATTACATCGATGCTTTGGAAGTTATTGAAGATCTGTCTTTCGTCAAACTCAATGAGAATAGTGACAAGTCTCTTGTCAATCTCTTGCAAGGTACCATCTTTACGGAGCTGGCTAAAAAAACAGACAACGGTGACTTGAAATTCACTTACTTGTTGGGTTCTGTTGAAAGCTTTTCGATGTATCTTGGTTTATCATCGCTTGCTGCGATTTCACTCTTCGATTTGYGCGAACATCTTGAATCAGTATTGTATTACAAGGAATCTTTGGTCAAAGCGAAACAGAGTGTAGATGCTATTCAAGAAGTAGAGCAGATGAAGCATATAATCGGAYTTGCAYAGTCAAGGATTGCTGAATCCAAGAKTGGTGKWGCTTCTACTGTGAAAAAATGCGAAGAACGAGTTAGTGAYTCSAAGGATAATGAAGYGACGAGGAAGAGTSACTCTGATTTAGTTAAAAGATTGAAGTCGTATTGGGATGGTTTGABTGTTGAGSTTAGAAGGAARTTTATGAAAGTAASCGTTGCGGAATTTAGAAGTTTTGTTGAGAGKWMATATGGCAGAGAGGGACGASATGRTTTGKWGCAAGTTCTCACTTGGGCCAAGGAAGACAGGACTTGGATGTTTTGGATGTGTCGAACTTGTTCGAAGAAGTTCCCTASTGCGGGTGAATGTAAGAATCATTTTGAACAAGAACATGGTGCAAAAATTAAAGGTGATCCAGG